TTTTCTGTTGTCTTTTGAACTTCTTGATCTGTTAGATTTAAGTAATCGTAGTTGCATCTCAAGGTTCATTTCGTCTCTAAACATAGTATGATTCTTAGGTCAGTTTCAATGATTGTTAACTAGAAGTGCATCGGACTCTGGATCTGAAGCGAGTATCTGATGCTTTCTTTCTTACCTTTTGTCCGTCCCATCCATGGTATCAGCCCAACGCAAGGTTTCCAATTTTGAGATGAGATTGATGGACATCGACAGCGAGCTTCTTGGAATTCCAGATTTAGAGCATCATGCTATTGTTAAAATGCCTTCTGTTGAGTTCGCTAGAATTTGCAAAGATCTCAGCAACATTGGTGATACTGGTACAATCCTAATACCTTTACCTTTCAGTGTTTTATCTGATTTACCTGACAAATTCTTGGATTATGAAAAAATTAATTGACTTCACCGATTCTTGCAGTTATAATCTCTGTGACGAGGGAAGATGTCACGTTCTCAACAATAGATGATATAGGATCTGCAAACATTGTTTGCAGCCAGAACGCTGCTGTAGCCAAGGTCTGCATGCGCCTTAACACTTCAGAGTTCTGATTTCATTAACTTAATTCCGTTTTGAATACTGAATTTTGATCTGTCTCAATTTTGGGGAATGCAGCCAGAAGAAGCAACAGTTATAGAGTTAAACGAGCCAGTTTCTTTGACATTTTCTTTGAGGTATATGAATTTATTCACCAAGGCTACACCCCTATCTAATACAGTTACCATCAGCCTGGCTTCTGAGCTACCTGCCGTTGTTGAGTACAAAATAGCAGAGATGGGACATGTTAGATTTTACATGGATCCCAGTTAGAAGATGATGAGGATGAGACAAAACCTCAGGTATAAATGTATATTCAGTTGCCATTTGTTTCATAAATCCATTTAGGACGTTTCCTGCAGTACAGTAGTTAGTTGTATTTTAGGAGTTTTTCTTGTCCAATACGTACTTTTCTGTTTCTGAGCTTACAATTTTAACATTTCCCCTCTCATCATATGATCATTTGATTTTGATATGCGATATTTGAGGGATGAAGATTGAATGTTTTGGCCAAGATGATTGTAACCATAAGCCGAAGAAATCTTTTAAAACATGTTTGTTAAAAAGAGCAAATGTTACTTAGCTATCTACGGGAATTGGATTAGGTTGACCAAAGTTTTTGAACCAATCCAAAATTTAATTCCTATTTCCGGGTTGGGTGGCAGATTATTAAAGAAAATTTTATTTTTTTTAAAAAAATATTTATTTACTATTCCTACGAACACATTCAAATTAATTTATCATTGGACAAATAAATTCTTGAACGATAACATAGTCAAAAACAACTTTAAGAGAGCATTGTAAAACAACTAAATATATCCAATTGGTTTAAAGAAATTATGTATAACAAAAATAAATTATTAAAAATTATATAAATTAGGATATAACAGCATATATGTTTGCAACAAAAAAAGAAAATAAATATAACAATGTATAATGGGTTACAAAATAAAAAATAAAAAAAATGTTAGAACTTACCATGCTTTCCACATGCTCTAAAATTGCTCAAATATGATTTTGATGCAAAATAATCTAAATGCATGGATAAATCATAATTGATGACACTGTCGGTAAGGATTTAAAATTTATTTTTTTTAGATTTTATGTTTGAAATTTTATTTTTCAAAGGTTCAACCCTTCTCTTTCCTTAAAAACAATTTTTGCTCTTCAAATTTGTCTTCTGTCTCTGAGGGTGTATAAAAGAATGAGAAGCGTGTGGGTTGATTCCCTGTTTTTCAGTGAGTTTTCGGAACATTGGGGTTGCTGTTTCGGACGAAGAATAAGTAGAAGTGAAGTATTGACGTCGGGATCGTTACATCGAGGAAGGTTGACTATCATAATCGAAGAAGGTGCGTTGCGTGACCGTCGTCAGAATTGGAAGCGAAGAAGGTGGCGGCGTCGATTAAGGTTTCGTTATCTGGCGGGTAAGGAAGACGATGGGTCAGATTTGGGTCGGGTTTCACGTTCGACCTTTGACCCAACCCACAGATGAATGCGGGTCGCGTTCGTTTCGGCCCAACACCGATCCAGCAGATGCACGCTTGTAGCGCGCTTTCCCAGCTTCGCACGCATACTCACGACTCAGCTCGCACGTGGACGAGGTTGGCTCGTCTCCATCGCTCCTCGGCTCGTCATCGGCAAATCGCTGGCTCGGGTGTTGGCTTGGCAACTCGATATTATCCACAATATATCGATTCCTAGATTTTCGGCCCTTCTTAACCTTATTTTTACTATCTGAGGTCAGTATGGTTTATAACCATATTGTGTTGGGAGTTTATTTTAATAAATAACATGAGATTTAGCCGAGATATGTCATGAAAGGTTCTTAAATTTTTATGTGGTTCTTATAGGATGTAATTAACTATTGGAATTAGCTTGAGTGACTTCGTCCAAGGCCATCGAAGTAAGTGACCTTACTCGAGTTAGCTTATTACGTGTTGTATGATGGTGTGTGCTCCATGGCCCTTGCATGTACCATATTTTATGTGATATGACTATATGATGTATGAATTATGTGACTGTTTACGCTATGAAAAGTTATGGATTATGCTGACTATAGATTGTTTACGCTATGAAAAGTCATGAATTATGTTGATTGTTGACTATTTACGCTATGAAAAGTTATGGATGATGTTGACTGTTTATGCTATGAGAAGATAGTTGATCAGCTAGTATTATATGCCATGAAAATGTTGATCGATGCCATGAATACACATAGTATTATCGAGTCATGTCATGAAATGTTTATTGAACTGGAATGTATTTTCATGTTATGTAATATGTCATGTAATATAAGAAATGTATATGTGACGTTATCAGTGCACTTATGTAATGTCATAATCCATGACTTTCCATAGCGTAAACAGTCAACAGTCAACATAATTCTATACTTTTTATAGCGTAAACAGTCACATAATCCATACATCATATAGTCATATCACATAAAATATGGTGCATGCAGGGGCCACAGGTCACGTAAGCTAACTCCAACACTAAGGTCATTTACCTTGGTGGCCTTGGCCGAAGTCACTTCCAACAAACTAATTCCAAACCGTTAATTACGTCCTATAATAATCACGTAAAAATTTAGAAACCTTTCCTATCATATCCTGGCTAAATCTTGTGTCATTTATCAAAATAAACTCCCAACGTAATCTATCTTTAACGGTTAGGAACCATACTTACGATGGTAAAAATAAGAGCAGAAATGGCTTCAGAGGGGTTTAAAACCTAGGAATCGATATATTATAGAGATACCGAGCCAAGGCAAGCCGCCGAGCCGACCAACTAAGTCGCCGAGTCGAGCCGCGGTAATTGATGGAGCTGAACCGACGAAAACGCCAAGCCAAGTCGAGAGGCCGAAACTGGAGCCACGATGTTGGGGCGAATGTGCACGCGGCCCGCTTTCTCGCCTGGGATGTGGGCTGGAGCGGGGGGTTGAAACAGTAGGCTATTGGGTCGCGAGTATACGTGATACCCGACCCGAATCCAACAACTTGTCTTCCTTACCTGATAAACAACGAAAACCCTAATCGATCTGCGCCGACGATGACGACGCAGTCTCCTCCGTTCCCGCCGATCTCGCAGCGTCCTCGACGTCAATACCTTGCTTCCGTTCAAACTCTTCCTCCGAAAACAGCAACACAACTTTCCGAGTGGCCCTCAAAATACCCAATGAACCAACCCCTCGATTTCCCTTCAGACGCTCTTGATTTTTCGTTCTCCCAGGCACACTCAGACACCAAAAGTAACTTTGGGAGTAAAAGCTTGTCAAGACATTTATTATAGGGTTTTAGAATAAGGAAATTTAATAGGAATGTTTCTATTAGACAATAAATGTTCGGTCGAAATCCCGCTATTTTCAAGAGATTTTGTAAGACCATTTAATTATTTAATGGTTTGTTAGTCTATTCATATTATAAAATAATGTGTTTAAAAATAATATAATTGTATCAAATAATGAGATACTTTTTTGTCATTTAAAGTTCATAAAATAGAAAATGATATTTGCTTTCTCATATAGAAACTAAACAAAATAATAGAAAAAATAATGTATATAACTAGATTCAAACCTGCACACTTTAGAATTAAAATACCACATAATTACCAGAAAATCGGTATTAAAACGTCAATTTTGGGCTTCATGAATTAAGGAGGATTCATATGATTCTCCTCCTTCAACTTCGGTCCTCTCTTAATTTTCAATAAAAAAGAAATTTGCCTAGTCATACCAAGCCCTTGCCCGCTCCTCGCTTGGTGGGTTCATGCTTGTTATCCTTACTATTCTCGGGCCCCATGCCTCTAGCCATAAACTATGCTTGTTATCGGCCCCTATGCCTCTAGCCATAAGCTATAAGAGCTCCATCTCGCACAAATACACAAGTTATCTTAATATATTTTATAAAATTTTGTTTGGTTTGAATCAACTTAATGAACTCGATACCTTAACCAAATTTATTCAATTTCAGAAAATTAATCGAACCCAACCCAAAATGCTAGTCCAACCCAACTCAACTCCTATAATTCGAGTTGGGTAAGTTCGGATGGGCGGGTTCAATGTACACCTTTGATTGATTTTTAATTTAGCTTCAAAGGTCGCATCACATAGGCTCTCATAGGGTAAAAGCAAAACCATATGAATAAGTTTTCTGAAAGGGATGAAAATAAATTCACAAATGACTGCTTGGATCATGTGAATGCCAGAGGTTTTCTCTTTGTGCATTTTCATATGATCACGAGGAAGATTAGAAGATGCTAACCCCTTGAATTCCTAGGCAGACCCAAAGCACATGAAAATTTCTAGGACAACCGTCCCAAACCTTTCGATATCATCTTTAGAATAACACCTATCAACATGAACATAGTTAAGTAGTAATTGACATGTATTTCTTTCTTTAAGGTCGAAATCATCTTTAGAATAACACTTATCAACATGAACATAGTTAAGTAGTAATTGACATGTATTTCTTTCTTTAAGGTCGAAATTCTAATGTGAACCGTCCAGATTCAGAAACTGTAATATACCGAATACATTTCCCATGTTAGTTGTGTTTTTCTGTAAGATAGTCCCAGATGTAAACTTGTAAAGCAACTTGGATTTGGATCTAGAAGACGAACATTGATAACCTGCGTACCTTTGTACATTTCCTACACTACACCAAAAGCAGTAGATGAGCCTGTGAAATGGTTGATCGATCCAAAAAGTACTTTTGCTGCCCCAAAGTGTGTTATTCTGTAAACTCCTGGAGTTGCAGTTTTAGGGATTCTCCATTCTATGGTTGCATAGCTTTTACTGCTAAGCTTGAACGGTCTCGACCACTTAAAACGCAGGCAGAAATCGTCGTCGTCGTAGGCTGGAACCCACAGCTTTTTGTCATGAAGAACCTCCACCAATGCATATGTACCTTCAGTCATGAGATCGTTCCGAGGACAGGCTGACCAAAAGGTAACTGTCACCATATCACCTCTATTGAAGGTGGAATTCTTGGGAACATCAGATTTTACATCCCCAAATTTTACTGAACGAGGAGTTGCATCCATCACAACAGGCGGCAGTAGGCTTATCTGCTTATTCAGTAAATCTGGAGGTTGTGGCCCTGCACCAACTGCTTGGCCATCTATGAGCGCATGGGCAAGCTTCTTAAACTCTTGAATGTAGGCATTTAGAGTATGAGGACCGTATAATGTAGAGGCACCCTGAAAACCAAGATTTTGTGTCGGTAAGTTAGAAAATACAAAATTCATGCTACAGCATCACCAAAGAACATTCTGTCTTCTACACTTCTTTATGTCTCTAAGTTGTTTGTTCTTTTTATTATCCTAAGAGCTAAGAGAGGAAATGCAGAAGAATCCATTAGTACTTCAACAATAAGACGTGTTCATGCGGAATTCTAAATAGCAGTATCAAGATTTACAGCATTTACAAGTCTCAGGCTTATAGATAAAATAAAAGCTGTCGGATTCATAAAACAACCAATAAACTTGAAAGAATTAAAGAGTAGGTATTCACAGATTCATAAAACAACTAATGAACTTGAAAGAAAAAGGAGAAGATTGAGCATTTTTATTTCCTCTCAATTTTTTTTTTTTTTTTTGGCAGGTATAAGATAAAAGTAATGATAATGATGATTCTCAGCATTTGCAACCATACTATTGAGTTAACTTGCAAGCACTCTTCTATCTACTATTTTTTTTTTTACTGTGACTAAATATTTCTCCACTATGAAAGGATCTCCTAAATTGCCTGAAAATCAATTCCACATGCAACTGTTTAGCCTCTACATGGAGAACTGACCTCATATCTCTGAACTTGGAACTCTTCAAAAGTGGTGACATACTGTGAGTAAGAATTTGTTAATCCCGCAATAACAACATGAACGTCACCACTCAATTCACTTTTACTTCCATCCGTTAGCACTGTTTTCACAGCATCACGAAGGCGCCTCCCAGCCATTGTCGTAAATTCTGGCAGCAAAAGAGTTCTAACAGATATCAGACTTCAGAGTGAAAGCGACAACATGACAGTGAAATTATGAACTTTTTGGAATTCTGTAAGCAGATGGAAAATTATTCTAGAAAAGATCACATGAACTTTTCATGCGAAGACATGAAGCTTAGAGAATGGAAACGAAGTGATCAGAGAAAAAGGCAATATCAATGGTTAAACGAAATTACTAGGAGAAATAAAGTTACTTTCTGCAGCCAACAGGGGGGGAGGTGTTGTAAGGTAATCCATAAGCAATAAAAATTACGAGGTCTCAAATGTCTTCACATAGTTCCCATTGTCTTCCATTATTCTGAAAAATTTGTCACTTTCTTTCCAGCTAAAAAATTTTCATGAAAATCTCCACAGCTGGGTTTCAGAATTTTTCCATTCCTTGGATTCCCTCATAAGGTAAAATTCAAATACATCCACAGATTGCAAATTTTGCAACGGAAAACCAAGGCTTTCTCAAAGAATTTATGAGTTGAGGAGGATCAGAAAAGGGGGAGAGGGTAATTCACTTAAGAAGGATGATATTTTCTTGGGACTTTCTATTCATAATGATGGAGAAATATAAACTGAATGTTCCCGATAGTCACCTTCTCCAAACCACATCAAGCCAATTAAGGGCTTCCTTGCAGCTACATTGTATACCTAAGCACTTTAGACAAAATAACACATGCAGAAGTATGGCCTACTTATTCCAGCCAAGCTTCAGGTTTGCACACACAATTGCATACAAATCCGTCAATATGAAAAAAACTAAAAACTTCAACAAGCATGATAAGCTGCCCCAAGAATGATAAGCATGGAAAACGAAGGCGACTCTCCCAATATATGTGCAAAGTGCATAAACTGGTAGAGAAAGTAGAGCAATAAAGAAAGCTACTACCTCCAGGTACTCCTAGAATGATAAGCTGCCCCACTCGGAGGATTTGGATGGGAAGTATTGACGGCTGTAGAAATAATGAAAGTTAATTTCATAATACATGGACATAGTCATTGATGTGGATAAGTATTTTCTAAGTTCTAAGTTCTTGATTTTTTATTTTCTCTCTCCTATTTTCACTCCCTTCATGAGTTTGTAACCTTGATCATTTTTTCCTTTTTCATTATATCAATGAGAAGTTATTTCTTGTTTAAGAAAATAAGTACTAGAAAATTTTAGAAAGACAGACTATAATGGGGCAAAACAATTTATCATTCCTATGGACAGTTTATTACACGCATGTAATTGGAACTTACAGCCCAATCATATGGTTTTGTCATTTCACCAGTATCCAGTAAGATGGGCTTTGGCCGCTGACAATCAACTTGTTCCTTCTTTGGTGTCTTTAAAAAGTTACGTATGATCCTCCAAAAAGGATTTCCCTGATAAATTAACATCATTGAGGTAAAGAAGGATGGTGAGAGTCCATAAGATGGAATCATTCATACTGTAATAACTACCAATTAATGTCATTATTACCTTGTCATCTCCTTGCTCAAAATCAAAGGCACCGGGTCCATCAGTGGTTCCAGCAGCAAATGAGTACCCCATTGCAGCAGGACATGTTTGTACCACTTCAGTAGTTCCTCCACGTTCAAGAGTCACCTCAAGCTTAGAGAAGTCTACATATGTGTGTCGGAAGTCAACCTTTCCCTTTAACTGCTCTGGTGCATTACTGAACAGCTCAACTGCTTTTCTGAATTGTCTCTCTCCTATGATCCGTGTGCTTTCGAATTCATCAGGATAACTGGCATGTTGATGTCAAAATTTACTTATAGCTTCTCTGAAATTAATAAGGATCTTCAAGTGCAGGACACTTACCCTGGTCCCCGGCCATAGCATAACTCATTCTTCCCACCACAGGTACTGTGATTGAAATCACATGGAAGTCCAGTATCTATACAGAAGGCACCAAGAACATTTGGGCTAACATCACCGCAATTTGATTGACAAAATGCTGACACAAATTGAGGTTTATCAGCATTCCTGAGGGCACCCCTGACACGCCTTGAAGAACTTAGAATCCTGGTTGCTGGTCTACCAGAAGGAGATTGGAAAGATGCAGCAAGCTCAAGTAACTCGTGATCTGTGTCAGAAAATACCAGGAAATTGAGAATGATATGTTTCCTCTTTCATAGTTTGTCTACAAGAGAACTTTTTTTTTTTTTTTTTTACTGTATTGACTTTACAAGTATCTGCTCCATGTATGCAGCTTGACCAAGTATTCTGTCATCAAAACCATATGCCAGATGCATAACTGACATTTGAATTGATAACTAGACTAATTTAAATATATTACACCTCCATCTGCAGTTAAAAACTATTCTATACTGGTCAGTACTTCAGTGAATCCCAGAAGCTGATCATATCATGTAAATCATAGAGTACTCTACCAAATATCTCAGTCGTACCAATATTTTACTTTTGGCAATCATGTTAACCAGAAGAGGACTGAAGAAATTGACAAAAGTTGAACTAGTGCATGCCACAAAAAGTTGTGGAATAATGTTTTGGATATTGTTTTAAGATGGTTTGGAATTTTATGTGATTTATCATTTTAATGAACATTTTTTTAATTCGCTGATTGAGATATAGAATATTGGAATGAAGGTATTGGTATGGGAAGCTGGCTAATAGGGTTTTTACTGGAAATATAAACTCGGGCAAGAGAGTAGACCCAGTCCCGTACGTGATGTTCCTATAAATAGAGTATCAGAGGAAAAAAGTTACGAATTAAAAATATTTGTTTCAAGCGTATCCAAAATCATATTAGTATTGCATCCACTAAACATTGATAAGGAAATTATCCAAGAGTTGATACGCCGACCTTTTCTTTTTTTGAGTTCACTTGATATAAAGATATGTCTGAGCTCTTTGATAAAGAATTATGGACAAGCAGCTACAGCAATGATAGAACTATAGTTGTATCCATACTAAACAACATCCACACTACCTTCCCTAGCTATCAGTTTTTTGAGAGTTGAACCATATGACCAGCACTTTGACGTAAAGCTCGTAAAAAAAAAAAACTTACGATTGATGAAAAGGTCAGGTATTATGTTTGAGACCCTTCGAGGGATTGTGTCCTCTACAGATATATCAAGATCTGAGGCAATCCCACATTTTTTCTCAAACCAATCCTCCATGAATCGTGCAGCAGCACCTTTGTTATCCCCACTAATCAATGAGTTTGTACGACTCAGAGAAGTTCCATGAGTCGCAAACCAATTAAAGCTACCAATAGGACCCCATTCTAGATCCACAAATTTCAATAGGGTCATCTCCTTGTCAACATTGTAGTCATATTTCTGGCGCTCTTCTGCAGGGTTATTGAGATATGCACTAGGGCTGCGGTTCACACCTGCATCTAAAAGCTCTCCTGCAAGTTGAACAATAAAAAACCACAGGCAATTCATCTTTCTTAGTTGCAAAGAGAACCAATCTGCAATAACTTTCTTCATGCAGTCATCATATCAAATCCCATATTGTTAAATATAAACAAAAGCATTCTATCCAACATTCAGAATCTATTTCTATATCATCAGGGTAATATATGCATCTCTTTGCAATAAGATTAAATCCCCAATGAAGAGAAAGAAAGAAAATTGCAGTACTTCCACTGAATCGAGTGCAATGATAATGAGTCCTATCCCTTACCTTTGTTTATGAAAATAGAGCCAGGGCGCAGATTCTCGTGAGCTTGAATAATGCTGTTCTCAATACCATTTACAAGAACATCAAATGACTGTCGCACAAATCCAAGAGATGTCACTATGTAAACAATGTACTGGAGATAACCACCTGGTCCGGCATGTGTATGTATTCCACTAATGGCTACATTTTTCTCGGTGTAAAGGTCTCCATACCTGAAATTGAAGGACATTAGAAATGGCTCCAAACTCCGAACAATGTCCCCTTCCCTTTCTACACGGATTTCATCAGAAGAACAGCATATATCTCAACATTTTTATTTCAGTTTTTTCTAACAAGTTTCTTAACTTAGTTATAGATTGAAAGGAAACATTTCAAATACCTTTCCTTCAATCTCTGAAGCACCTTGATTGTCACCAGCTGCGAGGCCATGCAAGCATCGAGATTAACAAATACCACCCTCTCACCCTGCGGCTCCGCGACAATAAATGTACGAGCTCGCAATCTGAAATGAACTCCACCAGCAATTTGTTCCATGTTAGCATATCCCATCATGTTAACATCCGCCGCTGGTCCAGTGATATCGTAGCTTCCAAGTCCGATCAAATAGTTGGAATCCGACGAGGAGCCTTTACTATTCTGCACCAGTAGAACAGCACAAATCCAAAACAGAGCTTCATATGGTTTCCGAATGCTGAAATTAAACAGAGAAGCAAACTCCATCGCTCTCAACTCGATCAGGTAGAGACAGAAGTCAACAAATTCTTTGATTCTCGTAGTTGTTCTTCACCGACAAGTTCATACTTTCTAATCGAAACCAGATGAAATTTGCAGTAAAAGGAAATTCAAGGAAGCTCAAGATACGTTCCTGGATACAGATTTCCCATAAGCTTTAACAAAAATTCGGCCTTCAAGTGAGCTCCGTGAAGATTGAAGATGGTAACGATAAATGTCCGTAAAAGGAAAATTTGGGGAAAACGTCCGATCAAAGCTTGTTGATGGGGGAAATGCAAAAACTGTTGAACACGACCCTCCAAAATGATAATTATATGTTTTGCTTCAAATGACTTCGTACCAATAATTATAAACTAATAATTATTCCCTAAATTAGCTGACATGGACTTTCATTCAATATCAATAACATATTCTAGAATTTACCATTTAAATTATACCAAATATTTACCCACAAATAAATTTTAATTGAAAATTTTCATTTTTACATACAATTTTAAAATTTATATCTAAAAATATATTATTCTTTGAAATATATCAAAATTATATTAAAATAATAAATAAAATTAATTGAAAGGTTACTTAACATTATTTACAATTAAGAGAAAATAAATAATTATTATCATTTATTTAATTTGGTATATCTAATTAATTTGTATATATCGGTTATTAAAAAAAATTGAATTATTACATTTAACTTTTTTTAATTACACATTTTTTTATGAAAGCTAAAATTGAATTATTATGCACACATTTTCTCTCCTTATTTTATTTATTTAGTTGAATTGTAGAAGGTGAATTAAAAAAACTTAAGCAAAAATAATCTCTGTATAATTCCGAGCATTCCGAGCAGGGTCAGCTCTATAGATGAAATGGACACGACCTATGAATAAAATTGTCGAGAATGGAGAATATAATTCCCATCTCTAGCTTCGTTTAGCTAGTAGGAAGAAGTCTCAATCTGCTCCATCTTTATTTATAACTCCGAGCAGGGTTAGTCCTATAAATGAAATTGCTGGGGACGGTGAATATAATTCTCGTCCCTAGCTTCATTCAACTAATAGAAAAAAAAAATCTCCCCGCTTCCTCTTCATCTATTTTTTTAATAATATTTTATATAATGGAAGGGATTATAATTGTAAATATGTAAATTGAAAGGGTAGAAAAGCAATATACAAAAACTCCCCATTTTCACTTAGTACCGGAGAGGAGCAACCAAACCTAGAGAGAGAGACGCCAATGGCTGTCGCCAACAGAACTACGATCAGTCGAGCCCTAGATTTCTCCAGGCTAGCTTCGAGCTTTATCAGAAACTTCAGCACTTCTACGCTGTCAACCTCTTCTTCGGATCCCAGTGCCTCGGCTGCTGCGAGTAAAAACAAGCGGAGGAAGAAGAAGAAGAACCTGTTCGAAGTAATTCAGTTTTTACCCAATTGGGGAGTAGGATACCATGTCGCCAAGGGTCACTGGGATGAAATATCGTACCAGATCACCAAGATTAATCTGTATAAGGTCTGTCTCCATCTGGTTTTGTTTCTTGGATTTGGATGCTGGTTCGTTTGCGATTATTTTCCCTCTATAATCTTCAGAAAATTTGGAAATGAACTATATACATTTTCTGCTGGTGGTTATCATTTCTTATGTGCATTTAATCAAATAGACGGATTGAGGGGTTTAAAAGGTTGTGATTCGGGTGAAAAATTAAGCGGGATTGTGTAGTTTCTTTAAGCATTTGCTGAACTTCATAGAATTTTAGAGTTTGGAGGCGTTTGACATTTCCCTCTAACTATTGATAATCAAACAGGAAGCTTAACAATCTGTTTACTTTCGGGACATTAGGATTCAGGGTTTAAGCTTTTCCTTTGACTGTCTCTACAGAATGGCACGCATGGCAAGGCTTGGGGCATCGCTCATAAAAATGGTTAGAGTTTCTATATCACTAAATTTAGTTCCTTAATCGTTGTTGGAATTTCATTTTTGTTTTTATTACGTTGCTGGGATTTTGTTCGAATATTTGTTTAGAAGAATGAGAATTCATACATACTTAGAATCTCTTACATGATCTTTGTGCCTAGGCTAAATTCTATAATTTGGGACGATGACATCAAGAGTTCATGCTTTCTAGCTAATTTAGATGCGTGATTGGGAAAGATAACAGTTAGAACGTTATAGTTAGTTCACTGTTTACTAATCTTCATGCCTGGTATATAGGATTATACTTCATGACAATTTAGTTCTTTATTCTTTTATGAATAGTCTCCAAGCATTCAAGTTTAGAGACATGAGTCCCTGAAAGGCTTAAGATGGAGTTTGGTTTAGCACGTTTGCCCTTTAGGCCTCTAGATTTGGTCCCTTTTGAAGTCTCTAACAAGGCGACTCTAGACTTAGCAATCGACATAGCCAACCATTATGTTACTTACAAATGAATATTAAAATTTGGGTATCTACAAACTTGTATTTCTGTATGTTATTGTATCGGCCTAGATCCACCGCTAGCTGATATTGTCCTCTTTGGGCTTTGCCTTTCGGGCTTCCCCTCAAGACTTTAAAACACATCTGCTAGGGGAAAGTTTCCACACCCTTATAAATGGTGGTTTGTTCTCCTCCCCAACCAATGTGGGACATCACAATCCAACCCCCTTCGGGGCCCAACGTTCTTGCTGGCACTCTTTCCTTCCTTCAATTGATGTGGGACCGCCCCCAAATTGTGATGTCCCACATTGGTTGGGGAGGAGAACAAAACACCATTTATAAGGGTGTGGAAACCTTCTCCTAGCAAACGTATTTTAAAGTCTTGAGGGAAAGCCTGAAAGGGAAAACCCAAAGAGAACAATATCTGCTAGTGGTGGATCTAGGTCGTTACAGTTATTGTTGCTTTGTGCAAGTTACTTCCATCGACGACGGAGGTTGACAAAAATTGGTTCCAGGTGCGCCCATTGCTGAAGCTCCAAAGAAGATCAGTGGAGTTCACAAGCGCTGTTGGAAGTATATCCCAAGCTTGCCAAGATCATTAGAGAACGAACCAACCACAATGACGAATTTGGGAGAAAGCAACCCATCAGCTGAGGTTCAAAGTTCATGAGACTGCAGAGAAATTTAAGCTGCTGATTCTTTTTGGCCTACCTTATTTCCAGGTTCACAGAGTTCTAATTCTCTCTATATTAGCAGTCCTTAAATGTAGTCAGGTTTCCTAACGCCATCATATGAGGAGCATTTTGAGCTTTGCTTGTTTCGGAGATAAAGAAAGATCAATCATCCCGAACTATGTGTAAGTTAGAACTTGTTTCCTATTCTCAGTTACTACTGGATTTTTATGTTAAATAGGTTGAAGAATCTAGTTGGTATTTGTTAATCTGTGATCTTCGTCCTGCCGTGAGACGAACATAAAAAAAAAAACTCATGAACATGTTCTTTTGTTTAAAATTACTTGCTGAATTAGAAATTTATTAGAATATTAGATGAAAAGTTGATGTGACAGTAACTTAAGTCGGTGCGTCACTGATTAGGACTTTGGCCAAAATTAAGTCTAAAAAGAATAATGTTCCATCATGTTGGCTTCCGGTTCAATATTTTTTACCCTAAAAGTAGTTTGAAATGTTTACGTTACTGTTCAAAACTGTAATTTTGTGAGAAAAACTTCATTTGATTAACGAAAAAGACCATGAAAAAGAAAGCTGTTCTAACAGTTTGTGAAAAAACTGTAATGAATGTTGAAGATGAATTGAATAGGCAGCTTACATGGATTCAGAATTCAACTGGTTCAGGATAACTGAGATCTATTGGCTCTAATTTTTCCCATCTCTGAAATGTTTAACATATAATTGTTAACATGGTAACTTTTATTTATTTATTATAGTTTAAGAACGTATAGGTCGAAGATTCAAACATCAAGCCTTAAAATGCCTCAAAAACTACTCCGAGGATAAAAGAATATATATATACAAGACAATTTTCCTCTCAAAACCCTTTTTTTTTAGGATAAGTAGATCAATCGTGCAGTCTTCTTTTTTTTTTGGTATAGCGGGGTTTAACAATTGCAATTTGAGCTACTTATGATTCTTTGGTTCAAAAAATCGTGCAGTCTTATTTTTTTAGTTCGAAAATGACGTGGAAATTCGACCTTATGATTTTTTGGTCGAATGCCAAGGTTCATGATGTACAGTCTAACCATCCAAGTTTAGTTTAAGAGCTAAAAAAACTGTTTTTTCTTAATATTTTAAAACTTTTTTTCGTCGTTCCAAACCAACCTTTAAAATGGTGGCAAAATCTGATCATTTTGCTTCGAACATAACGGATATAACAAGAGATTTGACATGTGGAGCAGAAGAGAATCACAGATAGCTTTGTTGGGCAAAGAAAATATAAATTTGCACCAACACCAACTCACAAGTTTAGTAATCAAACCCTTTCGGTGTTGCAGAAACTTAACAGTAAAGGCGAGAAGACATAAGAACAAATATAAGAATAATGTTAAATTAAAGAGAAATACCTATACATTTTCCTTTTTAAGTTCTTTCTTTTTTGGATTCCAGAGATGTCCCATCTCTCAAAGTTTCTTGTGCATCATTTTCCATTCCAAGGATGAACAGAGCTGCAGCTTGCAGATACAAGGCTGTTGGCCAATCTGGTGATACCACTTGAGCTTGCATAGCATCTCCTAATGCCTCCTGAGGCATATCACTCATCAAGTAACACAAGCTACGTCTCGCAAATACTGTTGGTGATACCATGGTTCCTCCATCTATGAACTGTAAACCCAAAACATATCAATGTCAAAAAACCGACCACCAAAACATATCGATAGAGCCAGTAAATATCAGTCTTCCAAACAATTTTAACCCAAATTTTACTGGCCTTTCACTTGTTCTTATGAGTGCATGAGCCCATGATTGAATTTGAGATCCTAATATAAGTTTTTACTGGCATTTATGTGAGGTTTTGGAGGATAAAAAAACGGTTTCAAAGTAACCCATCTTTGAAAATTAATCACGTACTTGCGTGTAGCAATCAATGGCAGTTACAAAGTCTTTGGCTCGAAATGCTGAGTCTCCACGCTTTTTAGAATTGAGTGTTTCCTGTATTTGGCTTGTCCACATTTGGAAAGAGAGCTGCAAGATAAATAAAGCAAATTCTCTGCGATGAGCAATGAAAAGCATAAAAGCTATTAAAAGGATTTTTCAGTTCTATAAATAAAGGAGGAATTATGCCACTAAAAATTAGCTAGCTGCATTTTACTGGCATGGACAAGAAAACGAAATAGCCTAATTTAACGTGTTCATTTGAATGATCAAAGAATTCCTAATGAACATAAAGTTGCCTCCATTATCTCTGATCTTAGAAAATTTAATTTATAGATGAATTTGCGAACCTCATTTGCAACTCCCTCATCATCCTTGTATCCAGCCTTCTCCAAAAGTTCATGTATTGCAGTAAGATCCGATCTTGAGCAAGCCTCCCCAAAAGGTGATAATGACATTTCCTTGGAGGAAGCATTCCCGTGGGAAATTCCCATAAGAACATGAGAAGGAACCTGACATAGACCAGTGGAAAGACAAAGAACTGTATAAATTTGGACGATTCTCTTTTTTCTGCATTATTGCCAACCGGCTGTATAGAATATTACTGGACTGTGGCCTATATTATGTTGCGTACAGTATCAAACATAGCATCTTTTACAGACTATGCTAACTAGCACGACTTTTATGGATAGTTAATATCAGGACATCTAATCAAACGGGTGGTTGTACCTCGGTTTCTTTCTGAAGAACTGTGAGAGCAATTACAAGTGACTTGACATTTGGCCTCTCACGAAGTTCATATTGTAAACATCTTGAAGCCAACCTCACTAATTCAGTTCCATCGTCATTAGAGAAATGACCCTCTAAACATGAGTCCATCAGCATCAGAAAATTTTTTCCACGGATAAGATCCAGTGCCTGAGAGAAGTGAACTTGGTTAAAATTCAACATGAAGTTCCCTAATTCAAGAATGCAAAAGCTTAAATAATAACTAAAGATAGCCGAGTGCAATATGTTAGGAACCACAATTCTCCACAATGGTATGACATTATCCACTTTGAGCATAAGCTCTCATGGCTTTGATTTTGGTTTCCCCAAAAGGCCTAACACCAATCAATAGAGATGTATTCCATAATTATAAACTCATGGTCAACCCCTTGATTAGCCGACGTGGGACTCCTCTCCAACAATAACATAATGTTCTTTAAAATGCTGGTAATTAGTCAGAGCCGCAGCCAAGTTATTGAGGCTAGATTTCCAGAATCACAAGTTTTTGTATAAGATAAAGTTTTTGTATTTGAGGATAAAGTCAAACCAAACTTTCACATGCAGAGAAACCTCTAAAGGAAGAAACAATTTACATGGCTTGGGGGAATATGCTTCCCACTGAGTAGGTCAAGCAATAGAGTGCCAAAGCTGTACACAACACTTTCTGGCGATATTCTCCCTGTCAAATGGATATTATACAATTAGCATAATACCCAGAGTGATTAGGAAATGCACCTAAAAATGTATATATATATATAGAGAATTTTACCAACAAATCTTTAAGAATGACTTGAACACACCATGTCTAATCAGTAGATGTTCAATACCTGTTCTCATATATTCAGGAGGGGTGAAAGCCAGGTTGGTACTATAGCTCTTTCCATCTCTGCTGTTCTTCATAAGGCCAAAACATGAGAGCCTGGGATTGCCATCCTGTCGGGTATAGCTAATTACTAACAGCCCATGAAATATGTCCCAACACTTGAAAAGAACGAAATATGTACCTGATCGAAGAGAACTCTATAAGCATTAAGATCATGGTACAGGGCCCGTCCCTTGCTACTGCAGTACTCCAAAGCTTGTGCTAAATATAATGCCACTCGAAGCCTCATTGCCCATTTCATGGGCTGGGTTTCCCCTACAGAAAATCAACCATAAAAGTAATCAAATTAACTAAAAGCGTGCACTTGCATGCTTGCTTTCCAACCACGAACAAAGATAGGATTATTTGTGTAGTTTACTTCGATGTATATAAAGTATAAAAGACCAACCAAAAAGAAAAAGCGAAATCCATAACTTTCAGCATCATAAACACTCATTTAGCGTCAATGGAAGAGGGCAAAAGGCTAGACGAAAATTTACAGTGAAAAAGGTGTCTGGAGAGAGTTTCATTGGGCATGAACTCAGCCACTAGTAATCTCTCATTGCCCTCGCAGCAGCAGCCGATCAAATTCGCCAACCGCTGGTTCCTTAGCTGCCCCACGGCTCTAGCTTCATCCTGAAAAGCCAAAACACAACTAACAATCACCTTAAACGCTCCTGCTTAGACATTAATACGCACACTCAGACAGCTCAGTAACATTAAGGCAATGCATAATATCAAATCAGAGCAAAATCACGGACTAGGAATTGGCGAGAATCGGGCCAGGCCGACTTATTGAAGCGCTTCACAGCGATCACTCGGTCGTCATCAAGCTTGCCTCTATAAACCACATTGGGCGCTTTCTCACCATGCTCAGAAACAATGTTCTCCGAAGAAAATCCCGAAGTAGCAGCTCTTAACTGATCAAAGCTGTACTCACAGAATCCAGGCAATGCATCATCATTCTCTGCATTCAACAACACAAACAACAACACCCTAATTCCAACAACGACAAAAAAAAAAAAAAAAAAAAAAAAAAAAAAAAAAAAAAAA